CCGGCTCGAGACGGGGATGTTACATATGGCATGTAATTTGATTTTCAGCTTATATAAATACTGATCAACTAAGTTATATCCTTAATTGACTAGGAATTAATTTAATTAAATCTAGCTATACTTAAGCAATGATAATGTTAAACATATCAGGTTATAAATCATTTCCAAGTTACCACTCAGATAATCAAGCATACAAAACAGAGTGAATTTTTATCATCAATCAGCAAATACTAGAAAGATTATTGGTAACAGCATATAATCACAAAATCACCCCAAACTTAAAATTAAGCTGGGTCCTCACAGCAGAACATAAATATATAAAAAAAATAAATTGAAAAATGAATAAATAAGTTATAATAAATAAATTAAGAACCTGGGTACCACAAGAGATTGGGCTGCTGTTGTACTGAAATATGAATCAGTGAGCAAATAGAAAGAAAATGAATCTGTTAATAAATAAAGGCCACTCAGAAATATCAAAAGGAATCAACAATAAAATAAATAAATAAAATAAAGCATTTACAGAATATAAGAAACACATTTACAATTTTATTTGAATACTCAAGATAATCAAATAAAACTGTTGGTGTAAATGGATAGTTGAGGGCTGTAATAATTTCAACACAAGATGCACACATCTGATTTGTATTATAACAAGGACTGTATGCATTTATAGAAGAATTTTAATCAAAGATCTTTAACTCAAAATACAGCAGCTCATTCTACCATAATTAATTTGATGCATTCTAATTTATCTCCTTTTGGCGATTTAGTCTCATCACATACGTCTAATACCAAAGCCTCAAATCCATTAGGAAATATAGCATTGGATTACAGTGGTTTTCAATATGGTCATTAAGCACATGGTGATAACAATTATAAATGCATTAATACATACAAATGCGTGTGTCTATCGTCAATGTTACAACAGAGAAACAAACACCTATAAATGACAGTAATTTAACAAAAATATCATATTCAGAAAATTAGACATACCACTCTTGTAAGCTAAAATAAAAATATAGTTTGAGATGAAACATTTCACAGGCACATGCAAAATCGCAAAATCAGGGAGTACCTACATTTCTTGGCAATATTGTTGTTTTCATTTCTCACATCATGTCAGATAAAGGTAAGATAGAGTTGAGAGTATACAGACAAGGAAAAGAAAAATAGGATATAACTCAAAGCAAAAATGCAAGAGTGGTTTAAGTGAAAGGAAAAGAAAAGAAAATAAATAAAAATATAAATTAAAATTCCTCACATGAAATCAAACCCAAACAAAAAAAATTATTACAATTCAGAAAAAATAAAAAAAATAAAAAAAACGTCCTAAATATAATAAAAATAAAATAAAAATTAGAACCCAAACGATCGGACTAATGGTTTGTCTATCAAAGGGAATAATGGTACACAGGATCAAAAGAATAAAATTAAAAGCAAAATCAAATTTATTTATTTTATTGAACATACCCGAGTTCGCACAGCGGTGAGGAGAATTTGAGAGAAACGAACCAAGATCTGTATGTAATGAAATCCAAAGGTTCTCGCTTGAGCTTGGACGAAAATGGAACCCACCGCAATATCAACCCCTATGCAGCTAAATCGACAGCAAGCAAGGCGGTGAAGAGCAACTAAAAAAAAATGGGTATTCTCGGCTGAACTTGAAGAAAGAGAGATATGGGGTTTTCTTTTTCTTGGGGATAGTACTAGATATGACTTATGCAGGGATAAGTCATGTCACTGCCTTGTAATGCCTTTTACAGGTTACTGGACTATTTTCAAAGGTACAATAATGGTTCAAACCATCGTCTGAAATACCTTTGTATTCAGCTAATCTCCTAACTAGATCAAATAGTTGAGATTGATTTGTGCATAAGTGATTGGGAAAGAAGAGAGGTAAAAAGGAAGAGAGAGGAAAATAACGGGAAAAATTAATAATAATCTGACCATTGTCTGTTTTGAAAAGATAAAATGTGTTAAGAGTGTAATGGGCTAAACACTATTGGGCTAAAAAAAATTATTCATGCAGAATTAAGCTCCATGTAATTTGTAGCAGCCCATAACACACTTGTTTCTTCTCAACTTAATTTTAATGGGTTTATTAGTCTCAGATAGTTTGATCAAAATGTAAAGTCCTACCCATTTACGTGTTATCTTTCAGTTAACAGATTGCTAGGCAAATGAACTTAAAAGGATCAAACACTCAAACAAAGGTTCAAGTGAACAATCAATGTTATAAACTCAAGCTTCTCACTCTCCTTTCTTTATTATTACCAAGCCACGCGCACATTCTTATTCCCTTCAAGTGACTTGTTATTTTCAATATTTACTTACCCCAAACTTAATAACTCGCTCACTCTTAAAATGCACACTCACATTATAAGACTAGCTTAACTAAGGTCTTCAGTCAACTCCTTTTTTTTTTATCTCAACACAAATTTCCATTGGCTTAAAGAGGACAACACTACACATGGACGGTAACACAAACAAAACTCCTTCGTGGAACTAAAACACAAACACACTTGTAAAAAAAAAAAAAATTACGAAGACTTAAACAAAACATAACAAACAAACTAACTAACCACTACTTAAATCCTATTTAATGTTTCAGCCAGCATCCAATAAAGAAATAAAAGTCTTCTCTTTGTTCACATGTCTGCTCCAATAATGCTTTACCCATTGAATTTTGCATGGAAACAATTTGATTCTTATCTTGAAATTCAGAACAATTTGTCCTGTATCCAACCAATTGATTATTTTCTTTTGAATCAAATCTTTCAAGAGTGGGTTGGCTGGTTTAGACTCTATATGATTGAAGTTGCCTTCTCCTAAGTTAGTATTTTTACTATTTAAAAACACATTATCATTAACCAGATGATCCCAAACAGAAATAGCAGAACAATCATTAGAATCTCCATCAATGAAATTCTTGGCTTCTAAAACATTAAAAGTTATCTTTCCCTCATTAACTCCCATGGTTAGTTCTCCTGTTTTAAAATCAATTATAGCATTCTCCATAACTAAGAATGGCCTATTCAATATAATAGGCATATCCTTGTCAGCTTCAAAATCAACTATTATGAAATTTGCTGGAAAAATAAACCTATAAACTTTCACTGATTTGTTCTCTATTTTTCCATCATGGTGTGCAAGTGACCTATCAGCTATTTGAGGAGTTATTGTAAAAGAACCTGGATTTTCCAGCTTGGCTGACAAATTGTTGGAGAGACAGTGCTCCTGTTGCTGCTCTTGGAGTCTTTGAGGAGAAGGGATCTGTCTTGCCTTTGATATAGGTTGATGAGCCTCAATATTGTGCATAGGCTTGTCTAATTCATTTGATTTCATTGCTGCCCTTACTGGTTCAACAATGTTTTCCTCTTCATCATCTTTGTCTTGAGGTGAGGATTGAGTGGTTGATGGTTGGGCTGTAACAAAGTTATCCACTTGCTGTCCATTCCTCAAGTTGAGGGCTTTGCACACTTCTTTTCCATCCCTTTTAGGTATTTCTGTGTCACTTGGTAGTGTCTCCAAAGGTCTACTACTAAGGGCAGAAGCAATCTGCCCCATTTGTACCTCAAGGCTCTTCAAGATAGCTCCATGACCTTGAAGCATAACTTCATGATTTTCTAGCATTTGATTCATCCACTGCTCATTTGGAGGTTGAGCTTCTGCAACATGTTGCTCTAGCTGTTCAACAAAAGAAGACTGCACAAAACAAGGTAAGTAAGGTTCATCCGGTTCAAATGACTGCTGCCATCCATGATAAGGCTGCTGGTATTGGTAACTTTGGCCTTGATTTTGGGCAAAATTACATCCTTGGTTCAGCCATCCCTGCTGATCAAATTGGTTGTGGTTGTTGTAATTGTAGTTGAAGCCTCCCATATAAAGAACCGATGTTAGGTTGTTGGGGCATTCTTCAAATAGATGAGCACCATAGCAAAGTGAGCATATAGGTGTTGTAGCAACTATTGGAGCTGGGGCTGGTTGCTTGGATTCTTCCATAACCATGACCAAATCCTTCATTGTGTTACGCAAAGCTGCGAGTTGAGCTGCCAATGCCATTGTGATTCCCCTGTAGAGTGTTTAACAACCAAACTTTTTTTTTTTTTTTTAGATTTGGCAGAATGCTAAGTGTATCAATCTGTTTTCACAGCAAAAAATTATTGATCTGCAAAATCTACAAGGAAAATGCAAGTTCAAGAAAAATTAAAAATGAAAATGAAAGAAAACCAATTCAAGAACTAAAAGACAGAATTTTAAAAAGAAACTAAATCAAACACCGTTCCCTGGCAACGGCGCCATTTTGTTGGGTAGTAATTTTTCGAAAGAAAAAGAGTTATCGTTCTCAGGGAACAGGTTGTTTAGTTTTCCTTTTTAATTCCAATTTCTAATTTCTTGAAATTAAGTAATCAATCTTTTAAAACTAAGAAAATTCTAAATGAAACGAGGTGTTTATCAGACTTGCATTAAACAAAATTTAACAGAGGAATATCTATTCACAAATGTATCAATTATAAGGTTCTGGAATTCTTTGAATCATGGATGAAGGAGAAATTTCGCATTCCTGCGTTTTATAACTGCTACGGCACTTTAGTATCAGAATTCGAATTACTATGGCTATTTTATCTAAAACTTCCCAGTTCCAGATTTTAATCTTTAGAAGGATCTTTTCCCAAAGTCTTCTAAATCTTCAAAAATTGTATCAAAGACCTCCTTGGGTTATCCCTAACCTCAAGGGTTCAATTAACAAGGGACATAACCTGATTTCCCAATCATAGCTATGCTAAAATTATTCAAGACCCATTCCCATGGTGTTCTTGAACTTAAAATCAAAATCTTGCTAATCAAATGAAACTAAAGCAAATCATCACAGTATTCAGAAAATTAAAGATCACCCAATCATCGTGAATCCCAGAAAAAGAAACTTAAAATATCATATTCAGAAATATTGCAAATCTAAAAAGTAAAGAAACATGCATTACAAAATATTCAGTAAAGAAAACTCAAAGTAAAAGTTTACAAACCGGTTCTTCAAGAGTCAAAGTTCCTAAACTAGAGCTAGGAAGAAAACTTGCAGTAGTATGAAAACAATAGCTCGCATGCAGATCCGTGATTCCTTTCCTTGAAGGTGCGTTGTCAATGCACTTCGAGTACAAGAATTGAAGAACAAGCATTCAACTTTCAAGGAATTTCTCAACACTCAGATTCAAAGAAAAAGATTACAAAAGATTCAAAACATAAAACTGAAAACTAAAAAAAAACGAAAGTTCTCTATATGTGGCCCTAATGACTCAGACTCCTATTTAGCTAGAAACTAAAGAGCTCCAAGAAATTGCATTGCTGTCCATCCATATTTTTGTCCATCCAATGGTTCAGATTTGATCTCACTTTCAAAGAGTTGATCATATGGCTCTCTAACTGCAGTAAAAATAGTAAAAGAGAATAGTAAATTATCAAATTATCTCTTTCTCTCTCTTTTACCTTATTGGGCTGATTGGTACTCATTTGGCCCATTACCATGCACTTATATCCAGCCTTCAACTCAAATATTGTAAAAATAAAGCCATTAAAATAATCATAATTTATAGCTAACACCTGTTTCATTGTTGCATTGAATTCCTCTCCATTTGCAACAATCTCCCCCTCTCCATGTAGACAGCATGCCAGAGGGATCGAGGAGGCCTTGTATGAAGTTGAGGAGTGCTTGTCTTTCCCTCTCAATGCACTTTACTTGTTCCCTTTTGTGTGGCAAGTTGAATCCGAGAGTAGAAGTTGAGGCATGCAATAAAAGCAGCAGCAGCAGAAATGCATAAAACATTTTAAGAAAGTAACTGCTGCTCATAATGTATATTCACTGCAATAACAGCTCTTTAGATGCCAAGATTCAAAACTCGATAGCATGATATATATAGAAGAGATTCAAATGCAAAATCCGCGTGTAGAATATGACTGATCGTAAAGTGAGACAAATTGGTCTTTTGAAGGTTGTGTTTGATTATTTTTTTCTTTTTTCAGTTAATATATTTTATTAACAATTTTGTCTAAGTAATCAATTCTTTTTAAAGCTTAAAAGACTTTTTTATTTATTTACTTTGTGCTGGAATTCAATTTTTTTATTTAATAAATTGGGTGGGAATGGATGAAACACTTCGTCATAGGTTCTGATGCTATATAACACAACTAATTCTCCCAAAATATTAATTCGTTTGAGAATATACGTGGATAATTTTATAAATTAAAAAAAAATCTTATTTTTACTTCGGTTCTTAATTTTAATTAATAATAAGCAAAGAAAATATAAAGGATATTATAAAAATACAAAATAAACGCATCCTGAACTATAAAGCCTTACTAAGCGCTATATATTCTATTCGGCTGTACAGTAGAACTCTATGTTGTATTCCTTGGAAATTCATAGGTAATCTTTTGTCTACCGATAAAAAAAATAGGTAATCTTTTTTCTTATAATGTTTTTAATTTGTAATATCCATTTTCGAATTCTTCCTTTCTCACAGAGATGTACATCAAACAAGTTTTTTCTATGAAGTAATTTTGTATTTTACTTTATAATTAACAGTATTTCAAAAATATTTAAATCATTTAGTTATATGGTAAGGTCACATCTACCTTAATGCAGGGATGCTCCTTTTTGCAACAATTGACCTGGATAATTATTTTATTCTAAGTCTTCCAATCCATTTTGTAAGGTAGAAAATTAGCCAGCAGGTCCATCACGTCAAATGCAATAGGATGAAGCACAAGTGGATGCAGGATTATGTGATGAAGCGTTACGGGACGTTTGTTAGAGGAGAAATTTTTATTTGTCTGAGAAATAATTATTATTTGAATGTAGCAGGAAATAAATTTTAACTAAAAAGCTGCTTGATAGACTCATATTTTTCCGAAAAAATGAAGTTAATTTTATTGAATTTGTGTTTGGTTAGTTATAGAATATTAGTGAGATTATGAGATTATTTACCAAAATAACCCCACTTGACACTATTTGTTCAAAAATTGTACAAACCAAAAGGCAATAATCATACAAATGAAAGGATAAAGTCGTCTATTCCTTGGTGGGTCACTTTTAACTTTGACCGGCAACAAATTTTTTTATCTAATCTAAAGCATTCCAATGATACCAACAGTACATAAAATTACACACACAAACTATTTTCCGGAAAAAAAATTATCTGGAAAAGTTTGATGTTTTTTTATACCAAACATGGTATTGTTATTCTCCCTGTGATGCTTTCCAAGGAAACTAAAAAAAATTCTGGTACGAAACACATCCTTAGGGTGTGTTTGGTACAGGAGAAATTTTTTGGTGACCGGGAATCATGATTAATGGAAATTCAGTAGAAATTGAGTTTACTTGGAATCTTACGAAAGATGTGTTTGGTTCGCCAAAATATTACCGGGAATATTGGGTAAAAATTACTGATTCCATATTTGGTTTAGAACGAAATATGACTTGGAATATGAGGTTATTTTACAAAAATAACCCCAAACTATTTTTACTTTTGTAATTGATAGATTGGGTCTAGATTTTTATGTGTATTGGGGTATTTTTGTCTCAAAATTTATTGTTGTGCTTTCCCTTTACTTGGTATTCTGATTGGTATTCCGAATTACCATATTATTTTTGGTAATCTGAATAGTGACTTTTCTTTATAAATCAAATTACCGGTAATCCTTGGATATCCGGGAATCGTAATTTATTCCTTCTTTCAAATGTGGTAATTACATTTACCAAAGAAGGATTACCGGTAATCATCTCCAAAAACTTGAACCAAACACCCCCTTAAAGTACTTGAATATTGTAGTATTATTTTTGCTGATTCTGTCAGATTGCCTTATAATGCTGTTAGCACTTTTTGCCTTTGTAGTGCTGTTGGCACTTTTTCGTTTTTGTATTTTCTGTTTTGCTTGGGAAAAGTCCGTATAAACTATAAGCGAATATGCCAAATGAATGAATAGCAGACTATCGTTTTGAATCACGTTGGTTGTTAGGAGGAGCCTTCCTCGAAGAAAGTTTCTCTTACCAATCTTTTTCTTTGTCGGATTCAAACTTCAAAAAGTCACTAATTCAATAGTGGTCTTCATATTGTGAATGCGAGGACAAGCAGATACGAAGGTTGGAAGAAGAATGAAAACTGCTCCTTCATTGACGAAGGATTTTGTAACAGTGTAATAGAGTCTCTTATAGGATACTTTTTTTTTTTTTTTTTTTTTGTAATATCTCTTATAGGATACTTTACTTGTATCGTATTACTGATATTGGTATTGTAAGGTAGGTAGTTAGTTGGACATGTGGTGAGGTGGCTAGGTAGTTAGGATGAGGTGGCAAACATTGGTAATAGCATATGGTTGTATAGAAGAGCGACACAGGTATATTATGTGGCATTCAATTGAGAAATAAATAGATTTTCATTCAGTTCTTCATGTCTCTTCTTTCTTAAGGGTTCTGCACCCTTAACATTGGTGCTTTCATCTCCTTGAAACTCAGAGTGAAACATGCGACTTCAAGAAGTGGCGGAGGAGTTAGGTTCCTTTCAACAACGTGTAGATCGAACCTTAGAGGAGATCCAGCAAAGGTTCACCGATCATCAAAACCAGTTTCTGACCATAAATACCCAGCTACGGCAGATACATGCAGTCATAGTTGGAAGGGAAAATCGGACGGGTAAGCATGGGCAACCGCGAGTTAATCCAGGTTCTTCGAGCAATGACAATGTTGGAGTAGTGCATTCAAGGTTTGATCCTAATGACCCACATAGCATCATGAAGTCAATTAAAATGGAGTTGCCTTCGTTTGTGGGTACAGATCCTGTTGGGTGGATTTTCAGAACAGAGTTGTATTTTGGACTGCAACAAATACCAGAGTCCCTTAAGGTTCGATTAGCATGAATGAAGATGGAAGGAATGGCAGGATCTTGGTTTCAATGGCTATTTAGTGGAGGTACCATCCAATCGTGGGAGGAACTCAAGAATGCTGTGAAGCAACGCTTTGGAGGTACAGCTTATACTGATTTGCGAGGGGTTCTGTCCAAACTATCTCAAGTGGGAGCCCTTAATGAGTATATTCGAGACTTTGAGGCTTTGATTAATCAAGTGTCAGATTTCTCAGATGAGGTATTGATGTGTTTTTTTGTTTCTGGTTTACAACCAGATTTAAAAAGAGCCATTCAACTTCATAGACCAACCTCTCTTCATCAAGCAATGCAATTAGCCATTACTTATGAGGCTCATTTTGCTGAGTTAAGAGGTTCTTTCACTTCTTATAATAAGAAGTATACCCCAAAACCAATTTCAATTGTGGAGCAGTATAATTCTTCTAATAATCAGGTGAAACCGGTGCCTCCCAACTTACCAGCCTTGCCTTCTAATGTTCATGTTAAGAGGTTATCACAAAAATATTTGCAAAAACGAAGATATATGGGTCTTTGTTATACTTGTGATGAGAAGTGGACTTCCAAACATCGTTGCAAAGCTAAGATGCTGATGTTGGTGGGAGACTGTGAAGAGGTGGATACAGACATAGAGGAACAGATTGTATGGCAGCCAGATCAAGGTCATCAGGAATCTCAGGATGCAGCTCACCACTCATTGGAAAGTGAATTGAATCTTACAGCTCTGCAATTCCAAATTTATGTTGGAAAAATGTTAGTTTCCATCATTATAGATTTAGGAAGCACTCATAATTTTGTTCAGAAAAATATTGCTGAAGAATTGGGCTTGCCTATGGTCAAGGTTCCTAGGATGAGAGTATTTTTAGGCAATGGAGAATTCTTAAATTGTGAGAGGAAGTGTCCAGCAGTTCCCTTGAATATACAAGGTCATGTTTTGTAGTGGATTTGTGGGTGATTGAACTAACCAATTTGGGAATTATACTGGGAATTTTGTGGCTTAGTTCCTTGGGCAGGGTGATACATGACTATAGTGAGATGTCCAAGGAATTTGTTTGGAATCACAAAAGGGTTATTTTATCAGGTGACAAAAAAAAGGTAGAGCTTGAGAAGTCAGAGGGTGCATGTTCTTCATTATCAGCAACAAATGTAGTTGTTAATTCTTCAGGGAAGCAGTTATCTGAGCTGCTGTCAATTAAGGATAAAATTCCTTGAGGTGTGGAACATTTTGGTGCAATACCAATCTGTTTTCCAGTTGCCACAGGGTCTTCCACCTTCAAGAGCTTGTGACCATACTATTCATCTGATTGAGGGAGCCAGACCAGTTAGTGTGAAACCTTATAGGTATGAACATCACCAAAAATCTGAGATTGAGAAGCAAGTAGCTGAACTTTTAGCTTCAGGATTCATAAAAGCAAGTCACAGCCCATTTTCTTCTCCTGTGTTATTGGTAAACAAAAAAGACAATTCTTGGAGGATGTGCATTGATTATAGGGCATTAAACAACATAACTGTAAAGGATCGTTTTCCAATCCCCACCATTGATGAGCTCTTAGATGAATTGAAAGGTGCTGAAATTTTTTCTAAAAGGAGTGGCTATCACCAAATCAGATTGGTTCCTCATGATACTCCTAAAACTGCATTTAGAACTCATGAGGGGCACTATGAGTTTTTGGTGCTTCCATTTGGGTTAACCAATGCACCTTCGACCTTTCAATTAGCTTTGAATCAAATGTTCAAACCATATTTGAGGAAGTTCATAATAGTTTTCTTTGATGACATTTTGATTTATAGTGCTTCTCTTGTTGATCATTTGGGGCATCTACAATTGACTTGTTGGAATGTTTGAAGCAGAATCAGTTTATGGTTAAGTTGAGCAAGTGTGGTTTTGCATTACCTGATATTGATTATTTGGGCCACATAGTTTGGAAAGGAGGGGTGA